TGCAATATATTATAATTATATTATAATTTTCTAAAATTATGATTATAATTTTGTAAATATTTTTTTCTCGGCTTTGTAATCATTATGTATTTAATATTTATATATACTTTTACATTTATTTTTGTTTAACTTTTTATTTTGTATTTATATAATAAAATGTTAAAAGATACTATTACAATCTTTCAATGTAGCAGTGCATATAGTGGATACGTGGTTAGGGATTTGTAACAACGAAGACATTCATCCTTACGTTCCCTTAAAAAATATATTATCGTCAATGTACATATTTTTTTCCTTAGTAATGTTGCAATCAATGTATGTAAAATGTTTATCCTACAACAAGTTGAAGTTGATACCCTGCTTTTTCTCCAGATCTTTTTCTCCACGCATTTAGATGAAAATTTATATTCATTCCTCTTCCCAGTATCGAATCATCTATTTCTGCGAGTAACGGCCGACCGAGAAGTGGATTACGCCGCGCGAGCCCAGGTCCGCCGTTGTCTCAACCCCAGTCACAGTCGTCGAGCGAGTTCGGTTTGAGCCTAGCGAGGACCGACTCGGGCGGACGCACGAACACCGATATTTCCGAGACCTCCGAGGATTATGTCACTGCCAATACTTCTACGGAAACCGGGACCACTACAGGCACGTCCGCCACGACCAGTTCCTGGTCGAGGCCACCGCAGACGTCCAGTGCTGCGGCATCGGCGCCCGCTTCGACCACCGCGACCGCCGCTGAAGGCAGCTCCTTCGAAAGCGCAAGCTCAATTTACAGTCTGGCGAGGAGCGAGGTAAATGCTCGTTAATTACATTTTAATTATGCCGGAGGGATGTTATTCAAATTAAACAATTTAAATAAATTTGCAAGATAATCGCTATACAATATAACTGCACATTATCACTTAATTTTTTGCTACCTTTGAAACAAATTTAGTTTTTAATTTTTAAACGTAATTTTTTTCTTTAAATTAAAAATATATTGAAAATGGAAACTTAAGACTTTATATAATTTTTACTTTATATTACCGATCTAATTTAAACTTTAATATAAACTTTAATTTTCCGCAAAATATAAAATTCATTTAAAGTTAATTGAGCAACAGAATTTTATCATATAGGCAAAAAAGAATTTAATTAAAATTTGTACTTTACGTTATTAGGCTGTTATCGAGGAGCCATGTAGTCCGCCACCAATTTTAGAAGAAGCGGAAATTGCATTTGGATTAGAACTACCTCCACCGGCAATGAGGTCTAGTAGCAGCAGTAGTTCAGGTAGCTACGACCTAAAGGACGCTATGACGGACCCGAATAATGATTTAGAGCAAGTCGCTCCACGCAGTGGACATACTTCAGAGACTGAATTGGATCGAGATGTAAGTTTACAATATTATATAATTTATAAAAATATTCTTGTTCAAGTTTGTGAAAAGTTCGAGGACATTTACAGTCAAATTACAGTGTAGCTGTAAGATATATAAAATAAAATAAAATATTTATTAATCGCAAAAGATTTATTGTTTCATTTCGATAGGAGGGCCATCGATCGTCGTCCGGAGGTTACGCCGAGTCGCCACCTGACGTTCGCATGTGGAGCGAAGAGGAACGTCGTCGAAAGAAGAAAACTTTCAGCTTAGACTTCCTCGGAGGAACATCGAGCAACGTAGAACTGGAGCACCCCGCGGAGCCGGTATATCCGGAGAATGTCGAGGTCAGCCCGACTCCTAGTCATCGTCACAGATCGCGCAGCAAGCCAACGTCGGCTCGAAGTCCTCATCGGAATAATAGAAAACGGGACTCTGTGCAACAGTCGACGCAAATGCAGCAACAACAAGTGCTCAGAAGTCCACAAAAGGAGGAATGGAGAATGGAGCAAACCGAAGATGGTCCACACGCGCCGACATCCGACGATTCAAGCTGCAGTCATCATTATCATATGCATCATCACCACCATCATCACATGCATCGAGAAGGTGCAGAGAACGCGAGACATCGTCGGACCAGGGAAAGCCCAAGAAGAAAGACCAGTGGTTATATTTCTACCAGAAGACGCAGCAATGAGGTAAGCACGACCTGCACGACGATCGTTAATATACTCGGTATATTTTGTTGTTCTTTTACAAAGAAAAGATTCTTACACGAAAAGAATGGTTTGCTGAAGTAACTAAAAATGTTACTAGATCTGAAAATAATTTTATTGGATCCTCAAATTAGGTAATAATTTAATATCAATTATGTATTGGAACAAAAGTTTTGTTCTATTTGTACGTATGTATTAATTACATGATTTAAAAAAATTTAGTAATTTTAAAGTTAAAATGCTTCTTTTATTTAATCGCGATAACTTAGCAAAAAATTCTAGGAACATTTAAAAAAATGATTTTGTAAAGAAAATTTTAAGCTTTCACGTTAGAAAATCGAAAATTTTCGCAAATTTTTTTTTTCAGTTACGTGACAGGCCTACAAAATGAGAAGAAAATTTTCTATTTTATCCAGCTCGTTTTTTATATCTACATATATAAACCATCAAATTCACAAGCTCAAAAAACATAGTGGCCTCTTGAAAGTAGAGATTTTAAGCTTTAAAACTTTTTAAACTTAAATTTCGTTTATTTTTAACAAAATTACAGCTGCTTAAATTTGGAAGTTCGTTACAAACTTTTTTTCAATCCAATAGAACGCTTAAGGAGCAAGTTTACGGTTCATATTATGTAACTATAGAATTTTGGTTACTGTAGTTACATTGTGAAACGTAACCTAAACTGATTACTAAAATTTTAAATAAGAAAAACCCAGTATTTGACCGAAGCTGATCTCAGTGCTTAAACATATATTTTTTGTGTGAATCTATATACATTTTGATTCCAGAATAGTTACTTACTAATTATACCATCCAAAATATCATTTATTAAATTATACAAGCAATTTAATAATTTTTTAATGCTAATAAGTATCTTTTAACAAAAATATTATAACGTTTTAAATCCGGAAAAACATTTTGGCGCGCAATATGCAGAATCAGGATGTATTGTATATAAAATCACATATAAGAAATATGTATTTAAGCACTAAGATTCGTTTCGATCGAATTCTTCTGTAAAATTTTATTTGTATTCATATCGGTCTAACAATTGCTTTATATATATATACATTGTGATTGCTAGAATGTCAAAACTTCTTGAAGCACTATTCATTATACTTGTGATTTTTATTTAATTATTTTGATGTTTCAAAAAAATCATTTTCCGTATCCAATTAAAAATTTGTAAATATCTTAGCAAAATTATTTTTTCTGTGTAATTCTTTCTTCTTCGCACATTCTATATCTATAAACAATCGCGTTGCAGGATAAGAACGCGGCGTTAACGGGCAGTTTACCGCGAAGAAAGTCCCGTGTCGCGGACGACATAGTTTGTTCTAGTCGCTTGAGTCCTGGACGTTATCAGCGTAGTCCAGGGCACAATGGCCAGCGAGCGCTCGTCATAGAAGCACAAAGTCCGGAGGCGAGACTGAAAGCACTGTCGGCGGAATCGTTGAGATCCGTCAGTCCGGGCAGCGACAGCGTCTTTTATAGCGAGAGCGCCGATCAGCCTTGCATCTCCGTTGCCGCTTTGGACGCTGCGCACTGTCATCATTGTGGCAGAGAGGTGATATATTACTTATCGTGCATTATTCATTTGTCTTTCACTTTTAACCCTTCGCTCCGAGATGACCTCTTTGCGAGGACAATATTGTTTCGTCATTCGAACGCGCTCTCTAGAAATGGAAATGTATTCAATTTTATATCGTTTTAAGTCTTTCTAATTATGTTTTTGACTTTTATGCGATATTAATAATGCATTACAAGAATCACTTTGAATTGTCTAACGGCTAAGAGGAAACTTTAAGTGCAAAGGGTTAATATGTAGAACTTAATGACATTATACTGTACTTTCTTACGATCAAAAGCTTTCTTGTAACAATTTTTAAAAATTAGAAAGATAAACGTAAAATTGCATTTCTGCAGCTTTATTGTAGTTTCAAATTAGAGCATTTTCTTGCGAGTAAAAAATATGCAAAGTATATTTGTTACATATTTAATTTCTACAACTTTCTAAATATTGAATCAAGAGAATCATTATTATTTCCTTAAAATTTTACCGTTTAGAATGTCGTAGTATTCCTCTAAATAGTTGCTTTTACCCCTTAAATATCTCATTATTTTATTTTTTGTAGTCTGCTTGTACAAATGTTAATTACACAAATAACTTTTCCATTTGCTTGATATTATATATTAATGAATTGTATAAATAAGTAGCGCTCATAGAAATAGCGTATAGATTTATGCTCTGCTTTTGAAACTAACTTTGATATATTTTCCTACATATCATTTTTACGAATGTCATTTCTAAAGAAAAATAAGACTGTATTATAAGTAAAAACATTTGTATTAAAATACAAATATCTGTGAAGTTTACATAATTTTCTTATATATACGAGTATATATATAAATAACAGAAAATATTTACATATATTTTAATAATTATAAAGAAATCTCGTTCTACTTTTTTCACTTTTGGTATAAATAAATTTTATTGAAATAAATAAGTTCCATAAGTCTTTTAAAAGATTGTAAATATTTGTCTTGAAAATTAAAATAATCGAGAATATACAGAACTTTAATATCATGAGCTGTTAGCATCTATGCATTTCTATAGATCTTTAATGTCATAAATGCTCAACTGCACGTAGAAAATTAAATACGAATGCAAAGTAGTACTTCTTTCTATCTACTTATCTGTCAGTCTATCTGCCTTCTTTCTCTATCGTGTGTGCCCTCCTGTTGCTTCACTCCCGAGGTGTCGGAAGAGATCGTTCGACCGCCGGCAGGTTTTGCGGACTCCCCAGAAGGGCACAGAACATCTTCCAAGCACGTTACAGGACATCGGTTGTACAAGAAGTTCGACAAGAGGTACAGGTCGGAAGATCGAGGAGACCGTAGACATCGCCGTAGCAGTGCCGGTAGATCGGACATTCGGGCCAAATCGGAAGAAAGAGCCACTCCCCGACCAGGAAGTAGAGGTTCAATCGATGACATGGGCAGGAGAAGATTGCAAGCTCGAAGTACCGATGCTAGTATGGAAATTCTTACAGGTAAATTAAAAAGTATATGTTAGAGGTAAAAAGTAAAATATTTAAATCAAATTTATATATCATTTGGAAGGTTGAATTGTATCTTCTTTAATTATTTTTCAATTATACTTTTAATATAAAATTTTTAACTTTTTTTAATAAATAATGTTAGAATAAAATTTAAGTAAAAAAGAATATAAATAAAATTTAACAAATAATATATTTATCATTTAATGCATTTAATTAATTAAAAATTTAAGGAATAACATTTGTCATTTCTTCTTAATGATAGGAAGAGAAGATGAGGATACTTATGTAGAACCGTACTTAAGTAGCGAATGGATCTATATCGGGGATCTCGAGGAAAGTCACGTATGGAAAAGGCCTGACAGCAGAGATGGTGACGACGAAGATAGTATCCATAAGGAGCGACGGGATTCTCAAGAATCTACGGAGAGCGAGAAGAATTTTAAGAAGAGATATCAAGCGGCCACGCATAGGATGGTACATCGAAAAAGCAGCGGTGAAATGTACAAGAGGATACAAACGAAATGTTTCGGTAAGTCGGAGATTAAAAAAGTTTCTAAAATTGTTTTGAAATTTAACATAAAGTTTTTATTTTCTTACTCTCGTATCTTTTGTTATTTTATAATGGATTACTGGCATGTAAAAAGAAAATTGAAACTTTTTAACGAAGCAACTGAGAAGAACTTTATAAGAAATGACAGCTCAAGTGAAAAATATTTGCAAAATGTTCGAAAGAAATGATAATAAAAATATATAGCTTGATATCTCGATGGTTCCAGTTTAAAAGTACATAAATCACATGAACTTTCGAGATGTTAATCTTTTAAGCGTAAACCCGTGAACACCTATTAGCGCGATCGTTAATCACGGTTTTATCGGTGCAGCTGTTCTATAATCGTTCGTGTCTATGTTAGAAATTCTTAAGCCGCATTCCAAAATCTCTACGTCATGAGATCATTCGGCGGATGGCGGATGACGTCCAACGCAGCACAAACGTGCCGCTTTAACGCTGCCGATTCACGCATCACCGAAGAATGTTCTTAAACCGTTTCGCGAAAGCATCCTGTGTTATATTTTCTATAAAAAAAAAGAGATTTAGATAGTGAGCTAACAGAGGCGAAAGATAAAAGCGAAAAAGAAATGTAGGAAAAGAAGTAGAGGAAGGAAAAAGGAAAAAGGAGGTGTCAGAAATGATATGAGGTAGAAGAGATGCATAAACAAATGCGTCATGATGTCAGAAAGTTAAATAGATAAAATTTATTCCAATCATCTGACATAATTTTTCTGAAGACAATCAAAGAGCTTATGGAGAATAATACATGTTAAATTGAATAGATGCAGAGAGAAATAAGGATTATAATAAAATTACACTTATAACATTATATGCATATGCTGTGAGCACAAAGCGAGTTATTATGAATATTCAAAATTATTTAAATTATGAAGAAAAAAAAAAGAGAGAGAGAGAGAGAGAGAGAGAGAGAGAGAGAGAGAGCGAGAGCAAGAGACACAGACAATCAAATTAAGAGGTCGAGAAAAGAAGAGAAAAGAATTAGGTCATGACAACAAGTAGAAAAAGACATGGATAAAGAAAGAAAGGCCGGTGCAGAGGGAGAGAGGCGTTCTTCCCGATTCTTTAAATAAGCTCCGCGTAATACTCCGCCGTCTAAATATAATCCACCCGAGCAGGCATCGAGCGAGACGTTAAGTCCGGCTCGTCCGTGATGAAGAAGGAAACCGAAGTTAGGGGAGAAGTGATTTGTGCCCGCGCGAAGACGACGAAGAAGCGCAGCGGCGCTCGCGAACCGCGGGAACGTGCAAGGGTACCAGCGGAGGGACCGGCGGGGCGGTGACTCGAAGAAGGAGCTTTTGGCTGGCAGTCAGTGGGTCAGGGCGCCGAGTCGCATTCCACGAGGCTGCTGGCTCGAGATATCGTCTTCGCGAATCCGCCGTTTTCTGTGTACACACCCTGTGTAAGCCTCGACCGCGCGCGAAACGGAGCTCCGTCTTCCGGTGCGGAGGTGCCGGTGGCGGTGAAAGAAGTTTTGCCGGTATCGAACTAGATTAAGATTAAGATTGAGATTGAATTGAATTCTAACCAATCGGAAGAAAGAAAATTCGATATAAGTTTAGCGAGCTTTAAATGGTCCAGAGATTCCGATTCAATCTCAATTTTAATTTGTGGTCTGATAAATCTCTCTTCGATATCGAAAAAGTGGAAGAATTCGAGAAGAGGACAATCCACGAGTGACAAATCTCCTGCTGCCTTGAATTTGACCCGTTGAGATTGTC